GTCCTCATTTCTGTCAGCTGTGAAAACGGGTACTTGACCTTGGATGCCCCAGACATGGAGAAGTTGTGCTTGCCCATAAAGCTCCCCAGGAAAAATCCTGTGCAGAACTGCAGGTACTGAAGAAGAGGTGTGTCCCGTCGTCCTGTCCTCCCCCCCATCCTGTCCCATCCGGTCCCGTCCGTGCCCCCCCAAATACTGTCTCTCACATGCTTTGCTTTTCAAGACTGTATGAGGGTTTGCGTTTTGTTATGCAGGAGTTGGAGGGCGAAACTTTCTGCCATGTGTTATTCAGGAGGCTGGGATTAATTATCATAACCAAAGCTCTAGTTTTAATCTGCTAAACTAGTGGAAACAAATCTCAGGAAAAGGTGACACAATATTAAAAGACGATACATTATTCATCTGCCAAATGAACTATGATCTTCAGTGTTCATGGACTGTCATGTTTACTCATTCGTGTTTGCTTCTAATGTTTTCATTTTGCTTGGGTGAGCAGTTGCATCTCAGAGCCTCAGTCATGCATATTGGCATTTCTTGCTTACTGCTAGTATATACATCAATATTTTTGGACACACAGTGGCCGTTTGGAATTGGTGAGGTGTTGAGGCTTGCATTTCCTCACTGCTGTCTGTAGGCATTTAACTGAGGTGTCTAAATTAGTAACTGTTGCCAGAGGCATACTCTGTGGTCGCAGAGGAAAGATGAGGATCCCAGGAGCAAGTCATTCCTTGTACGCAGCATCTCAAAGGGGTTTCAGGTGAACAGGTTACAAAAGTAGTTAGTTATCTGTGTGCCTAGAGTTATGCTGGATGAATTCAGGGCTGGTTATTTTATCGATGTATTGAAATCTCTGCTGGAAAATTGCCAAGGGAAAGCAGAAAACCTTTTCCCTATTAAAATGTCAGTTAATATGTAAGATGCCATTGCAGTCACATCCAAATGGAGGAGTAGACCCTCTTTTGCTTGAAAGTACGGCAAACAGGTAGGTTTGTTACTGGTCATTGATGTGACAGTTTAATAACTGTAAATTATGTTAGCCCATACAAAGGTACTGAGAAGTGTTTTTCCTTTGGATAGCAGAGATGGTTAATGTACCAGCTGCTATAATTAGAAGAGTACCAGAAAAGAACTGCATTAGCTAGCTTTTTTTCATTGCTATGGAAACCCTTGATCAGCATAGCTCGGTATTTCTGTGTATACAAGGCAGGTGCAAGTCACAAATCATAATAGAGAAATAGGACAGTCTTTTAAAAATAAGCAAAAGTTAGACACAGGTAAATAGACTTTAAAAATTAGCAAGTTGTCAGGTATTGTAGGTGGTGTCGTATGATGTGAAATTAGCAATACCTGTAGTTAGATATTGCCTTCACTTTTCAGGAGGAATCCTATGGTTTTGTATGACTCTGCTGTGCTTAAACTATTTGCCAGTTGTCACCTCAAGGCTGATTCCTTCTGATCCATTCAGCCATTCCCAAGTATGAGGTTTGGGAATAGTACTATATTCAGGCAAATGAAGATTTGGCTTTCGCTCTGAGGTTCTTCTCTTCCAGCTGGTGAGCGGGAGTCGCTGCCTTACTGCCAGGAACGCTCTGCCGACAAGGCCCTTCTGCACAGACTTGTATTTATTCTGCCACTGGGCGAGCACGATGCCTTCAGATGGGCGCTGGCTCGTGCCCGGTAGTTGGGAGCTAAAGCAATGCACTAGTGCGTCTGGCGGCAAAAGGCTGCACAGACTTTAATCTTCAAAACTGGTAAATTCAGTTGCAGAGTTTACTTGGATATTTTAAAAGCCAGTATTTTGGGGAGTTAAATGTAAAACTGAAGCTATTGTGTAGGCACAGTTTCTGTTTTTGCAAGTGTTAGAGGGTTTCTGTAGCCCTCTGGTTAAGAAGCCTCCTAGGTCTTCATTTGTGCCCTTTGTCAGTATATGTTGCCTTACTTAAATTGCATGATCTTTTGTTCCCGTGGATCCATATATCAGCGAGTGCTCAGGATAGATCTGCTTCGTGGGTGGAAAACAGTAGCGTTGGAAGCTGTTAAGACCCTCACCTCTGTTGTCATGCCAGCCAGAAGACACGCAGGGACTGAGGACGGAGGGAAGAGAAAGACAGCTGAATGCTGTCTGGGGCAATGGCATTTAATCCCAGCCTGTGCCATAGAGTTGATACAGGGATCCCAGCAAACAGAGCAGGGATGTTGCTGCCGGCACCCTACTGATTCACCTCTTCCCCTGGATGAGTAAAGGAAGGCTCGTAGGAGCTGGGCTCAGGCTAGATAAACCGCTTGGTCTTTTCTATGCTTTAAGCTGCCCTGGGTGTGATTGCAGAGGTAGAAGAAGCTGCAGTGTGTTTGGGTCAAAGTCGCTACTTTGAAGAGCGTGGTAAAACTATTTGTGACTGGTGTTGAAGTTAATTGGAATGATAAGTTGAGGTTTACTTTTGCTTGCCAGGAAGGTGTTCTTTGCCTGAACTTGTTTGTATTCTGATGCCAATGGCTTTTTATGTCCCATGGACTTTGCTTCCATTATAAATCTTTAACCTCTCAGCACTACAGAGTAGCTCTGTATCTAAGTTTGAGCTTAAGAGTTCTGCTCAGCTCTGGCTAAATTTTTACAGCACTAAAGTCTGAAGGAAATCTTCCTTAACAATCAGGGACGTTTACAATTAATAACATTTGTAAATGTCAATTACAGTAACTAACCACATCCTTTCAAGCTGTCGTTCATTTTTGGAAATTAATTATGCCATTCAGCTGATTTCTGGGTAGAAATCTTTTGGCATTGCAGTCGCATGCAAAAGCAGGACTAGACCCTTTTTTTGCTTGAAAGTATGGCAAACCAGTTGGTTCGTTACTGGTCATTGATGTGACAGTTAGCTCTGGGAACCTAAAGGCTATTTCATGGCTCGTTCTTTCACCAGCTGGTATCCTGTGGCCATGTCCATGTTACTTAGCTTTCCAAACAAGGTCACCACAAGGAGGCTGCACACTGGGAATGATCCTTTTGCCAAATTCAGAAACCAGTTTCCACTCGTTATCATCCAGGCAGTTTGTTTGCTGTATCTTACTACTACTGTTAGAGCAAGTTGTTTGCCTTTGAACAATAAACGTGCTTGAGCCTTTCCAGCTAACTTGCTGATGTGTCCTGTGACCCTTCAGGGTGTTTGGGCTGGATATCCAAGGCAGGGACTGTGGAGATGAAGTGGCTCAGTGGATCACCGCTTTCCTGAATTCAGAGCCATATCGACTGGTGCACTTTGAGCCTTCCATGGTGCCAAGAAAGTCAAAGGACATCATAAACCTTTTCCGAACCACGGATGAGGTAAACGAATGTTGTTTCTCTCAGAAGTACTTTCTTTTAACCGTTTGCCACCCACCCACCAAAACCTGCCCGTTCGGTCCTTGGTGATTTGGCCCAGTTTAGCAAGATGTGTAGTCATGTACTTAAACCACGTGAATATTCGCCTCTTCTATGACGAAATGACTTGCTTAAATTTGACTTTAAATCTGTTCGAAGCTATTGACCGTTCACAGCTAAAGAGTCTGATATTGATCTCCAAAGAAGAACTATTACATTGCAGAATTTAATAACATTCCTCTTCTGCCTCAGTGAATAGAAAAAAGTTACTTTTTTAAAGGTATTTTGATGGTGTGATCTGTGTTGCATAGAAAACCTCTGCTCTCTGTTCTCTCTGTTCTAAGTTTTTTAAGCAAATGCAGATTGTGAGTACCTTGCCTTACTGATGTGATGTTACTATCTGTAGGGCATCAGTGTTTTGCTTGTTGCACAAAGAGAAGGTGGTACATTCAACTATGGACTTCTATACATATGTATTTATTATGTAAGGGCACTGAAACCAATATGGAAGACTAGATTTCAGCAAAAGGGGTGTCAGATTAGGAAGGGTGACATTCAGGAATCATAGCATGAAAAGAGGGCAGAAATTTTTGTATGCTTATTTCAGCACTCATCTTCTTTTGGTTGTAAATGTATATATAAGAGAGGGAAAGGATAATGTAAGAGAAAGACAGGAAGAGGGCTATACACTGAAATTCTTGCCAAAATTTATCTTCTTTTTTTTTTCTCCTATTGAACTAGCATATATAGGAGTTTTCGTTTAGTACTGTTCATTGGCCTTGTTTGCTAAATTGGCAGCCCTCCCACTTCCAAACAGACTTAGACTGACGAATGAACAATTGCAATTTAGTATTGCTATTCTGTATGTGAAAATCCCTCTGGTGTTGTGATAAGATAGATTCATTATATAGAAAAGTCCAGT